GCGCCAGCATCAAGCAATGAGGGCGCCGCCCCAGGGGAGCCCCCCCCACGAGGCAGCCTGGCATAGCCGGCGCGCCCAACAGCGCACAGGCGAAGGGGGAGAGACACCTTTCAGATGACGAAAGAATAGCGGAATCAATCAGCATGGACGCCGAGCGCCTCACCAAACTCAGACGTTTTGCCCCAAATGGCAAGATATACGAAATGGCCCTGAAGTTCTGAGCAGAACGGGAAGCGGAATTGCAGAGAAACGCCCAGGGGAAAAGACCTCCCCGGCAACAACCAGCCCACCCGTCCCAGTCAGTTAACGACGTCATCACGACACGATGCGATTATTCCTCTCTCTCTCTCTCTCTCTCTCTCTCTCTTTCCATTGCAGATACGGAGAGATGGCGGGCGGAGCACCGCGCACGCTGCGCGGCACACACGCACAATGTAATGACGGGCCACGGTCAGTGGGGGAAATGGGACCAGCATACAAGATACTACGCGATTAACAAGGCAGATGGGGATACGCTACTATCTCCATCGATCATACTCGGTTGCCACAGCTGTCCTGGCTCAACGTCGGCCTGGGTGCGCAGTGTTGCGCACTAGCGGGGCATCTCGGAGCGCGTAACACGGGGCGGCCACGCATGGCCTTCACGGGCAGCCGCCAGCCATGGCCCTGCGGGCGCTGCAACACGGGGCTCCAGCACTACAAGATGATCGAGAGCCACGGGGAGCACACAAGACATGAACCAGGTCATGAAGAAGATCAAGGAGGCCAGGGCAGTGAATGGAGGAGAGTGCGCATCGACTGGAAGCCGGAGCTGAGGCGCGAGGAGTGGGAAGAATGGAGCGACGAAGAAAAGACGCTGCATGGAGGCGAGAAATATACTTCGAGAGAGCAGGTCTGCCAAGAACAGAAGAGGAAAGCAAGAGGGGCCACGCAGGCAGCCCAGGCCTTCGGACTGATCCAAGCAGCACAAGCACTACTGCCGGAAGAAGAAGGCCCAAAGAAAAAGCCTCGCACGGCAAGAAACAAGATGGCCATGGATAAGTCAAATGAAATGGCAAAGGCCCTGCTGGAGGGTATCAAAATGAATGGCGGTATACGCGCAGCCTTTAGCAAAGCCGGAGAAAGCACGACAGAGACTCTATGCTGCGCAGAAGAATGCGACATCCTGCCCAACAAGTGCATGCCAATGGACATCGATGACGAAGATGCGCTGAAGGCGGCAAACCAAGAGTTGGAGGAAAAAGAGAAAGAGCTGCACAAGATGAGCGACTACAAGACGGCGAAGAGCATGGGGGGAAAAACAATCGCGGTACCTCAAGGCGCTGGACTTCGTAGACAAGTGGAGCGACAACATGCAGATGTTCAAAATTTGCAGGAGGGGCACAGGATGGGACGAAAAGAGGGGAGGAGCCTGCTCGCGCGGGCTTGCCTTCCCAAACAAGCTGTGGCTGAGAGGCCCCAGCCCCAAATCGAGAGGGGACAAGTGGCAGTTCTGGTGCAAGGTGGACTGGTTACAGCTCGTCAAGGCGCAGGAGATCTACCCATAATATGTGCCCATGAAAGAGTGGGTGGACAAGATGAAGGACACGTTCGGCAACGACTGCGAGGGGTGGCCAAAGATCGGGCGCGGGTGTAATTTCCTCCCATTCAAGAGTGGGCCGTCGGTGGTGGTGGTGGAGCTCCAGGTGGGGAACACATGGGAAGCGCTCGTAGCAGAAAGGCTGCCGCAGCAGCTAGACGACGCCACAAAGGAGTGCCACTACCAGTTTTCGACGCTGCCCAGGAGATGAGCTCAGAGGAGCTTTTTGAGCTGATCCCCGCGTCCTTCCCGATGACGCACAAGGTCAAAGGTTGCGATCTCATAGCAAGGTACCCTGTGGACGCGTGGGAAAAAAGCAGGGGGAAGGCCTTTACTGTACATGGCTGGTGCGAGCTAGCGCTGAAGATATCATAGAATGACGAAGAGAAACTCCACAAAATCAGGACGGTCGCCTTGAAGGAGCTGAGCAACGAGGACAACCTCGACCCAGAGGAAGTGAAGAGGCTCAAGGAGCGCGAGAAGCTACGAGACAGCACGCAAACCTTGCTGGATGGCACCCAAGCAAAGTTCGGCTACCCCAGGTCGGAGGAAACGACTACGGCCAGCTCATCCAGCGGCCACCAGTGAGTGCACCCACTGGAGCCTGCTGGATTGCCAAGAGAAGCGTTAGCGAGGTTTTCTCGGAGTGCTACTCTGGGCAAGCTGGACGTGCCCACAAGCAGCCATGAAATGCAGTAGCGAAGTCTCTCGGAATGCAACTTGGGGCATACAGGATGGGCATCACGGAGTGCTCGCACCGCCATCGCAATGGGAAGTAGTTCTAGAGTACCGACAGGTACATCACTGCAGTGTGTCGTAGGAGAGAAAAGTGATCATCATGAAATCCACCTGCGTGTTTCCTCGATGGCCCTCTCATATATCGTGACTACCAGCTTGCTCTACCCCACATACACTTCGAGCGAGATCGGTGGGATGCGACCACAGGGTATAGTTACAGATGCGACAATGCATGGGGCAACTCTCGGCCAGACCGAGAAGTGAGCCGAGCGGGAGAGGTGAGCATAGAATTAGAATAATAGAATAAGCAGCCCCCCAGCAGCAGTTTGGGGCCACGGGCCTCCCGTCCCTCCCCCCTCTCCTCCTTTTGAGAGGTCATGTCATCGTCTCCTCCCCCCTGGCTTGGGCGCTCTGCTAAGCCCGCGCGTCCCCTCCCCCAGGGCACGCGGAAGGGACAGCAGCCGCTCCACCCGCACTGACCAGCAGGGACTCGTGAACGTGAGGTAGCGAGCGTCTCTCACGGGGCCACCTCGGAGCTCAGTCCTTGAGCAGCGTGGTATGCCCCCTGCTGGCCCTGGTGAGAAGGCAGGGCTGTTGCACAACCAATCGCAAAGGATTTTGGCAGAAGTGCGTAAGACACCAGCGTAGGTGTCGTGACGTTGCACCCCCTTTATGCGGATGTCCTTGTCCTTGTCTCCTCCTCCTCTTCCTTGTCCTCCTCCTTCTCCTCCTTCTCCCCCCTCCCCCTCCTCTCTCCTCCTTCCCCCTGGCGCGCGTGACATATATGTGTAGTCTTTTTTATTGTTAATCTTATATATGCGGGGTCTATCCATCAGCCCCGGGGGGGGGCCTTTTGTTAATCACAAGCTGACATTACCCGTCCCTCGTCGCCACGGGGTATCTGCTCCTCCTCTGCGTCCCTGTGGGAACGATTCCAAGGCTGTGGAGCACGATTCAGGGGCCATGGAGCCAGTCTGGGAAAGAGTAAGCCCAAGGTTAAACTGGATTCAGCGGGAAAAAACAGATGAGGTGGGATCAGGCAGGAGAAACAGGGGCGACGATGGGGGCGAATAGCCCAGGGGAGAGCAATACATGTTCTTTTTGCCCCTACCGTCGCCTCCGAGAAGGGCGGCCTTCAACCATGGATGCACCGGCGCCGATGCTGAATTCCACCTCCCCGGGGAGCTGCAGCGCCGAGGCCGCAGCATCCTCATGCCCCCTTGCCAACGCTCGGACGTCCATGCCCAGTGCTCTCTCGGCGTCGTTCGCTTATTTTTGTTCGCCAAATGGTCAAAGATGCTCCTCCATAGTCTTCGCCGAGAAAAACGAACGCGTCCGAGCGACGCCAAACCCCGAATCGAACCTCTGTCCAGGATCGGTGGAGGACCCTCCCGGGCGGGAGGCGAGGCGCGCAAGGAAGCCAAGGCGGGCGCTCAGGAGATGGGGTCGAGAGCCTCTGGGGAGGTCCGGGCATGAGGATGCTACGGCCTCGGCTGCAGGGGAGGTGGAATTCAGCATCGGCGCCGGTACATCCAGGGTTGAAGACGGCCTTCTCGAAGGCGACGGTAGGGGCAAATAGACCAAGAGCGGACATTACACATATGCCTTGCCGAAGGCATGGATCACTGGCGCCCCGGGACACGTGTATTGCTCTCTCCTGGGCTATCCGCCCCCATCATCGCCCCCGATTCTCCTGCTTGATTCCACCTCATCCGGCTTCTTCCCACTGATTCCAGTTTTACCCTGGTCCAGGATCGGTGGCACCCAGGGCCTCCCGGGAGGCGCGCAGGGAGGCCAAGGCGGGCGCTCGGGAGACGGGGCCGAGAGTCGTTGGGGACGCGCGCCGGGGGAGCTGCATACTTCGTCCTGGAATCCAGGATGGCCCTGGAGAGCAGTATTCCTGTTTCGCGACAGCGGCCTTTACCGGCCCCGGCCGCCCCCCCCCCCCAGTGCTGGCCTCCGAGCTGTCTTGGCTCCTCGCCCGGGAGCGAAAGGCGCTCTCCCGGCCAGCCACGAGCGACGATCGCATCCATGCCATGCTCCTACCCCCGCGGCCTGGACGCCGAGGCGCGGGTCCCAGGGGCGCGCGAGATGCCGTGGGTCGCGCTTCGCGAAGGGCGCCCGCGCGGAGGGGCGAGGGGTGGGCTCGTGCCGCCGCCTCGGCCACGTGCGACGGGCTGCACGACTGCAGCTCCTATCGGGGCTGTCTCGGTCGCGCCTGGAGGCTCGAGGCGGGCAACTGGAGATCGCTTGTGTTTTTGGTTCGGCGGCAGCCCGGGTTGTCCGAGGGTGGGAGGAGGGGGGAGGCGCCAGCCGAGAGAACCTGCCCTTTCGCTTTGGGGAGCCCCACGTATGCCCCCGCGCACCAAGACTGCGTACCCCCTTCGGACATGCGCAACTGACACGGTCAGGTTATCTGGGGGGGAGATGCGGGCCCGAGAACCCCGTTTATCGGCGGACACTAAGAAACGGTATCCAGCTGGTCCGGGGTCACCCAGGGTACGTTTCTTTCAGCCCTGGGCGAGGCGATTGCGCATCAAATCTGTTTGCTCCTGCTTCCCCCCGGGCCTGGGCACAGCGGCCAGAGAGCAGCAGGCCAGCCCGACGGCTGAAGAGGTGGAATCGGAAAGCAACTAAGATACAAACGGTCCAAATACCCCCCTGTTGATGCCGCCCCGGCCACCAGGCACGCAGTACTTCCAGGGGACGTACGAGTTAGCCTGGAGGTTCATCCATGCGGCCTGCGCGAAACCAGCTCTGTTTGTGGCGAACTTGCCGCCGTTCAGCTGCTGGCAGTCCGGATTCACGTAGCACCACCTTTGCTTACGAGGCTGGTCTCACGTTGCTAAGCTCACGGTCTTGGCGCTAATGAACCGTACGGCCAATCTGACAACGAGCTCACCCTATCATCGATCGCTGCTGTGGTGATCGACTGCTGTGGGATCACCGATCGCTGCGGTGGTCGGCAATAAGTCGACATCGGGTTTGCATGCTCCAAGGGAAAACAAGGGACTCGGAACAGGAGTGCAGAGCAGATGGCCGACTTAAGCGACAATCAACCCAGCATGCACACGCTCAACGCTTATCGCTCATCAGGTAGATCTGAACTGACTTCAGACACATGCCTCTGCGCAAAAAAGTGTCGCCTAATCTTTGACATATTCGATCTTTCCATCCTGAAAACTCCTGTAGCGGGCAAGGATGGCCGCCGTTGAAAAATCCGCCGACCCTGTCTGCGTCAACCCGAAAGGGCAGCGCCAATCACCCGCAAGGCACACACCAATATGAGGGAAATCGAATAATATCGTAGCCCCTTCCCTTTGATACCCCCCCCGCGGAGTAAACTCGCAGGTCGCTGGGTCAGTTCCGGGCCAGCTCGGCTCTCTTTCGGAAACAAGACGGTCCACGAGAGCTCTCAAGCATCCCAGGGTCGCTCCAAGATGGCCAACGACGTCCACCGGACAGTCAAAAAAACTAAGCTAGCCCAAGAGCGTTCCCAGAACACCCCGAGGAAACCGCTAGGAGGCGACAATAATTAACTTGCCATTAGACTTTCGATCATTTGCGTGTTCTCACTTTTTCCGCCATCCGACCGCCCAAGACGACTAACCCCAGAGGCCTCCAGCATTGCTCCTCTCGCGCTCCTCCGCCCACCTCGTCCGTCCTTGTTGACATTTTCCAGGGTCGGCGGAGACGGCCGCAAGGCCTTCGGAGGTATTGACGCAACGCGACCCAAACTTCCAGTTCTGAACAACAGAGGCACCCAGGCAGCTGAAACAAGCAGCTGGAAAGGCAAGCTAAAGGCAATAGCAAGGCAAGTTGGCGGCAAGCATTAAACGAGCCGAAGACACCTGAAAGGCAAGCGAAAGGCAAGCTGATGACAAGATACCAGCAAATTGAAGACGAGCTGGAAATTCGATCAAAACAAACAAAGAAGGAAACCATTGGCAAGGTACGGATAAGATGGGACCAAAAAATGAAAGCCAAAGGAGACCTGAACGCAAGCCAAATGCAAGCGGAAGGCGAGCGAGCGAGGCAGCCGAAAGGCAAGCGCCATGGGTGAACGTAATGACGGCCGAAGACGGCCCCAAGAGGAAGCTATGACAACCATAAGGCAGCCACCCTCAGCCAAGACGGTCACAAAAGGGACCCAGGACGGCCCAACAGGAACCCAAGACAGACCCAAGATGATACAGGGAGACCCCATGAGCGCTCCTCAAGGAGCAGCGACGACAGGTGTCGCACGTTGTCCATTCTGGGCGGTGCTCGAAGCGACTAAACCCGAAACGCACTGGTGCAAAGCACGCAAGCGAACAGCTTTATTCCCTGTGGTTTTTTTTTGCCCGCAAAACTCCAGCTGTCGAGGGGGTGAACGCCAGGCGTCCAAGCAGAGTCAGGCGACAGCGAAACCTGGCCTCTGCGTGCAGGGCGACCTGCACAGGCTACAGACGCGGGGACCTGTAGCGACAAGGGCAAAGGGCTCGTCCTGGCCCTTGTTAGGCCTGGACGAACGAACAGCCCCGAAAAGACCCCAGCGACCCCGTGGGTCAGGGGTACAAGCGAAGAAAAGCAAGCTAGTCCGAGTCCGAGGAAGACGAAACCACAGGACACCCACCAGCAGCTCGGACTAGTCTGTTGACTTTCGCTTGAAAGGTAGCGGAGGCCGACCGAGCAGGAGCAATAAGAGGCTCCAGGTCGCCAATATCCGCCAAAACAGCTCGCTCCTGTCGGGACGCATTCCGAGAGGCATCTCCCCCGCTCGGGGGTGAAAAGACATTTGACTTCACAGCAGGACCGAGGGAAGACGACGAAGACGACGACTCCACGACTCCATCAGGCTGTGAGTCCAATAAAAACTTGGAGGTAGCCTCCTCCTCCTCATCGAAACCATCTAAGGGGGGCTCAGCCGCGGAAGGAGGCTGCTGGAGATCATCAGCACCTGGAGCGGCACACGCGCGCACAGCCGGCGGGTGCGAGCCTAGGCCCACCTGCACAGTGCCAAAATCTGCGTCGGCCCCCCCCCCGTTGGAGCAGCAACTGACACGAGCACTTCCTCATCGCCACGAGTTGCTTCTCCAATGGGAGGGGCTCTGGAAAAGCCATCCACAAATACTCGGACCTGAGACTTGTCACGCTGGGGGTGGAATCCCTGCAGCAATCTTTTCCACTTGGTTTTTTGCCACGGGTGCATGGTCCCTGGGCCAGGGCAGCGTCTCAAAAACAGGTTCGATTTGAGCGGTGAGCCCGTCGAAATCTGAGCCGTGCAATGAACGCAGACATACAAAATGGAATGATCCGAACAAGCTAGGCCGACAATCGAGTGATTGTTGTCTCGGACAACGTCAAAATCCAGTCCAGGAGCGGGCCCCGTGCACTTCCTAGGCGGAGGAATAGGACGCGCACCGAACCTGAAAGTGTACCTGGCTCTAGATGCCTTGAAACAGAAAGTGCACCTCCAGAATCCCGCAATCCTGGCAAAAGAGCACACGTCTGAGGCCACAGCAGCAGCCTTGGGACGATCGGGCTTGATATACTCAACTTCGCCGTACTCCTTGAGAGATGGGAAACGGGGCAAAAGCTTCATCGCTAACCTGCAAAACGCATCAGTGTATTTAATACGCAAATCGGTTTCTTCCAACACCTCGCGGTCCATGGGATGCATCGAAACCGCGTTCTTAGCGCCTAAGTCAGCAAGATGGTTCCCCGTCCTGTAACAAATTTCATCATCAGACAAACCTGCCTCGCTTAAACTGAGATGGGCCTTGATCTTGATCACATTTTCCAAAAACTTGTTGGCATCGTCTGCCCTTGCCTGGACGATATGTCCAGCGCATGCCTTGCGAAAGTGGGCGTACAGGTCTGGCGCTGCGTGGTAATCATTGACCACATTGGCGCAATCAGACAGGATGGAGGCAGGACCCTTGAGGCACATCACTGAACCAGTAAATGCGGAATATTCGGCCGCCTGGGGTGACTGACGAAGTGGCGGATGCACGGGGCATCGGATCTCGCAAATGCGCACCCCGTTCTTAAAAGCATTGCAACTCCATCCAGCGCGGCAAAGCTCGCGGATGGGATGCCTTGTGCAAGAGCCGTCTACAAAAATGTCACCTTCCAGCGAAAACTCGTTTTCAGGAGGATCGACGAACCAATCGGCAACCCAGGACCCAGCCGCCAGCGGCCCAGGATGGATGTCCCCAGGATGCGGTAAACCTCCCCGAGTAACCGAGAACAACAGATTTCGGTTCGTAACATGGCCGTCGATGCTCTCGAGTATTTCTCGACCAACAAGCTCGAGACGTTCTTCGGCCAATGCAGGACATTTCCATATCCTGTGATCATTATTCCCTGTGGTGGGCCCTCGATCAAGTCAGATCAAATTGAGACCGCCACTGGCTGCCGGTCTGATTGTCGGCGGGAAACGGCATCAGGTCCACGTTCACGCAAGCGGTGGAATTAAAGTTGGCAAAGAAGTCCCAGCAGACCTCAGCCGCTCTTTTCTCGCGTGCCTCCTGAAGACCAAAAAATCGGCATGAACAGAAGCTTTCGGAGATCCGCGCGGATTTCTTGAATCGTCGCTGGACTCCCTGGCGGCGCCGATCCAAGAAATCCACGCGGGGCTCCGAAATCTTATGCCATCGGAGGTTGTGGAGTGAGATCGAAAGGGAACGGAGAGTCCCCCTACTGGGAAATCGGTTTCGGCTTCGAGTTTGTGTCGCGCGTGCGGGAGAGGTGAAGCTGCGTAGGCGGGCGAGAAGAATGACCCCAGGGCGGGTCAAGAGCCGTTGACCGTCACTTCTCCCTTCCCGGTGGGCGGGTGGTGGCCGGGTTGTCCCGCCGTGGTGTCCCGTCGCTGTCCGCATCTCCCCCACGGTGGGCGGGAGGTGGCCAGGTTGTCCCGCCATGGTGTCCCGTCGGTGTCCCGTCGGTGTCACTTCGAAGTCCCAGCGGTGTCCCGTCGGTGTTCCGACGGTGTCCCCTCGGTGTCCCGTCGGTGTCCCGTCAGTGTCCCGAGTGGTGCCCCCATTGGTGTCCTGACGGTGTCCTGGTTGTGTTTTGATGGTGTCCCGCCGGTGTCCCGTCGGTGTCCCGAAAGGTATCCCGATAGATATTTCCATAGTGTCCTGATGGTGTGTCTGTGGTGTCTGCATGGTGCCCTGGTGGTGCACAGGTCGGTGTTTCGACTGATGTCCTGGTGGTGGCCTAATGGTCTGGATGATGCCCCGATGTGTCCGCGATGGTCCCCCGATGGTGCCCCGACGGTGTCCCGTCGGTGTCCTGTCGGTGTCCCGTCGGGATCCCGTCGGTGTCCAGCCGGTGTCCCGTCGATGTCCCGTCGGTGCCCCGTCGGTGCCCCGTCAGTGTCCCGTCGGTGCCCCGTCGGTGTCCCGTCGGTGTCCCGAGTAGTGTCCCGATTGGTGTCCTGATAGTGTCCTGTTGGTGTGTCGATGGTGTCTCGATGGTGTCCTGGTGGTGCCCGGATAGGTACCCCGACTGGTGCTCCGACGGTGTCCTGCTGGTGTCACTGTGGTGTCTGCATGTGCCCTGGTGGTGTACCGATGGTGCCACAGTGGTGTCCCGATCGTATTCAGGTGGCTTCCAGCATCGCTACTGAGATCGATAGTGAGATTTGGGAGTGCGAACCTGATACGCCAAACGGTTCTCAATGTCACCATCATTAGTGAGATCGATAGTGAGATCGATAGTGAGATCGATAATGAGATCGATAGTGGGATCGATGGTGAGATCGATAATGAGATCGACACTGAAACCGATAGTGAGATCGATCGGGAGGTCAATAGTGATATCGATCGTGAAGTTAATAGTGAGATCGATCGTAAGGTCGATAGTGTGAGGGATGACGAGATCGATTGTGATATCGATCGTGAGATTCAACAAGATCGATAACTGGATCGAGTGTGATATCGGTAGTGAAAAAACGATAGTGATATTGACAGTGAGATCGATCATACAATCGATAGCGAGATAGATAGTGATATCGTTAGTGAGATCGGTAGTGCGACCGATTGTAAGATTGGCTGTGAGATCGATCGAAAGATATCGATAGTGGGGATCGATCGTTTTATCGATAGTGAAGCCGATAGTGAGATCGATGGTGAGATCGATCGTGAAATCAACGGTACGATCGATAACGAGATCGATAGTGATATCGATAGTGACATCGATAATGAGATCGGTATTGATAATGATCGTGAAGTCGATAGTGGAGTCGATAGTCAGATCGATAGTGAGATCGATAATGAGATCGACAATGAGACGTTGGATCTCCCCCCCCCCGAACCTCCTTATCTACCGAAGGGTGGTCGTATAGGTGTAAAGTATTGTTCTTCGACTCCTCCCACGGACCCATGACGGGGGATTTCTTGACAAATCACGACCTTGGCGCGCCCGAGGGAACTGCAGCCGTGTGTCGAATTGATCTGCAGCGCTCTCCCCCACTCCCGCTCTCTCTCTCTCTCTCTCTCTCTCTCCAGGTGGAATTCTCAGAGTCCAGGTTGGCAGTGGCCTGGTCTAGGGGGGCCTGATCCTCCCCACCTCGCTTCTCGCTCGCTCCCGAGCGGCGGCAGGAGCACGAGGGGAGACGCGGGGCGGAGAGGGGAAGGCCGAGACGGACCCACGACCCCCCATAACCCGGACAGGGCTTCCGCCAAAATCAACGTGCTCCAAGACAGGTGAAACAGAGATCCTCCCGGCCTGGTCTCTCGCCAGTGCACCTCCCCCGCCCCCGCCTCTGCACCACGCGCCGCAGGCAGGCATGCCAGGAGTTCTCGATTCGCGCCCCGCGCAGAGGAGGAGAATGAGGAGAAGAAGGAGGAAGAGAAGGAGGAGAAGGATTTGCTTGCCCGAATGAGGAGGAGGAGGACCAGATTGAACCTCAGATGCATCAACGATGCCGCAAGGCACCCGCCCCTTCCAAGTCCCCTCCGCATACAAGTCGCTGCAAGCCTTCCTCTTCGCTCCACGAAGCGTCCTCTTCGGAGACCAGCACCCCATGGGCCTGCCATTCAGGCAAGAGCCCCGTTTTGAAACAGAACTACGACAAGGCATGGTCAAAGCATTCAACTTGGGGTAGATGGGGGCATCCTGGGAGCATCTTGAGGGCCTCTGGGAAGCCTTTTGGGGCCGGCTGGTGGTCTCGGCCTATTGGGGCCCACTCTTGGGCCCCTCTTGAGCGCGTCTTTGGCGTCCTGGGGGGTCTCCTGTGTTGTTTGGGGGCGCTGTTGGGTCATCTTGGGGCCCTCTTGGGGGCCTCCTGGACCGTCTTCGGGCGGTAGTTTGGCCGTTTGGGTCGTCTTGGGCTTTTGGAAACGAAAAATATCAAACCACATCAAAACCCAGGGATTTGGCATGTTGGCGCTCTGTTGGGGGTCCTCTTAAGAGTCTTCTCGGGGCGTCTGAGAAGCCTCTGGGGCTGTTCGAGGGAATTTGGCGATGACCGAGGGTGGACCCATTTGTCATTGTGTCCTAGGGGAGATGGGGGGGCAACACTCCGACATGTTCTACACATGCATGTGTATATCTGTATAGATAGATGCCAGATGTAACTGTATTATATATACATATAAAAAATAAACATGTTTGTATGTGTGAAACGCTCGAGAGAGATTCTAAAAGGCCCCCAAGAAATGCCAGACACTCAGCCCCTTCCCGCAACCATTCTGGTTCGAGCAGGGGCTTCGGCCCCTAGAGGACGCTAGACACATTGGCGTCAGAGCTGACTATGAGAAAAGAGGTTTCGAGACAGCTTACGCTTCTTCCACCGCTCCACCGCATTCGGTGGTAGCGGAGCTGGCAGAAGCTCCACGCGGAGCGCCAGCGAGCTTCAGAAGTGGGGCGAGTTCACGGACCGGATTCCAGACGGCGAGACAGGTGTGCGCGGCACTCGGCGGAGAAGTGGCCAGAAGCCAAGACGAGAGCGAAGATCACTCACGTGACCGAGCACCAGATCCATAGGTGACGACGAGGAGGAGCCCATCGACGACGGTGAGTACGCAGCCCCAGTCAGACCTAGGGCGGACCGGGTGCGAATGCTGGACGGTATGTTCCACCACCTGTCATCAAGGACTCGACGATCGAGGAACTGCGTCGCTACGTGAAGAGGCTGAGGATATGGTCCAAGGTGGCGACTGGCATCCCAGCCCTGCAACGGAGACCCCACGCGTACTACAGCATCCTGGAGGGCGGCAACGACCAGATCCAGAGCATCGTGGAGGGCCTCGATCTGAACAAGCTCGAGGGAGACGACGGCGTAGAGAACACAGTGGGGGCCCTCGAGCAGAAGATCATGCCGAAGAACGTCTACGAGAAGTACCTGCTCTCGACCACACGCTCTACGGATCGGAGCGCAAGAAGGGCGAGAGCCTGCAGCAGCACTCGATGAAGATCAAGGCCTTCGACCGCTTAAAGAAGCTGCAGGTCACTCTGGACGACGTTCAGGGGTACCTTCTCGCTCGCTAGGCGAAGCTGGACCACACGGAGCGCACGGCGGTGATTTTGCAGACGTCGGGCTCGCTGGCCTACGACGACGTCAGGACTGCGCCCAAAGGGCTTCGCGACGACAGCTCGCTCGAGAAGACCACGAGGGGCATCAGGGCGACAACTCGGGCCAGCAGAGGACCGCCAAGGCCTTCCAGGTCGACGACGACGAAGACTTCGAGGAGGACGAGGACCCGATCTCACAGGCGCTGCTGGCGCTGGACGGGTCCGACGATGGCGAGGAGATCATGGAGGAGGATACAATCGACGAGGACGAGGCTTACGCGACGCTGGCAGCGTGGCAGGCCGGCCCAGGAGGTCGCGGCAGCTGGCAGGAGACGAGGCGCATCGTGAAGTACCGCACGACGTCCAGGGGCTACCGCGACATCGGCACGCCGAAGGGAAAGGCCGTGGTCGCGGCAAGGGCAGTCCCGAGTACCAGAAGGAGGCCAAGAGGAAGATCGTGGAGCTGAAGAGACGCACTCGTTGCCGCAGGCGCGACCAGGTGGGCTATTGGACGAGAGAATGTCGCAACCCGCCGAAGCAGAAGGCCCCCAGTGAACATGCCAGCGCAGAGTACAACAGCGACGAGTCCGAGGAGGCCTCCGACTTCCACGTCTTCGACCTTGAGGAGAACTACACCGCGGCGGCGAACACCGAGACGCAGGAGGTTCCGCCGCCGCCGGTCGTCGAGGACGACGCCGCGAAGATCAAGAACCGCGAGCGCAGGCTGCGCGCGAAGGCGCGCCGGATGGCAGCTCAGGCCGAGATGGCCTCGAGCGCGGCTGCCTCCATTCCAGCATCCACGGTGATAAAGATGGGCCCACCCAGGTTTCGGGGGTGTCTGGGGGAGGCCACGAAACGCCTGCGACATTTTTCTTTTGGGTATCTTCGAGGACATGGTGGACACGGGGTGCTCGATGCCTAACTGTTAGGGATGTCGCGATTGCTTTGCACGGTTATGCTCTCCAAAGGCTGCTTGGTTTAT